CTTTATTACTGTTACCTCAGTTATCAGCTCCTTCCTAGTTTCTTCTTGTCTCTTCTCAATTCTTTTTAATCTCTCCATTAATGTCTTGATATCTAGGTTTGTAGTTTGAGACCAGTCATTCTGGGAGCTCTTCATTGTTTGCATTTTGAAGTCAGTTTTCTCAGGTCTGCCCTCCCAGGGGTCTGGGAGAGACCCATATTCTTCTTTTGGTTTTTCTTCATTTTCGTAGATTTTTCTCTCTCTCCCCCTTTCCCTCCCCTTCTTTAATTCTGTTTTTCAGGGAAGGTGGGGTTGCTTTTGCTTTGCTTGTGCAATCTCCTGTTCTTCCTTATGAGGGTCCTCTGGCTTTGTTCACTTTTGAGGTTGGAGTGTGGGCTGTGGGCTGTACTTTTTACAGTTTTTAGGTTTAATTGAGGGGGAAGCTGTGATTCAGAATGTATATGTTGATTCCAGGATTTACCAATAGGTGTATGAGCACATTGGAACCTATTTTCCACTGCCTTACAATCTGTCTGTGCGGCGGGATATAGATTTGGTCCCTTAGGGACCAAGGTGGAGGCTGCTCATAGGTGGGCGGGGCAATGCAAATCTCTGTCTGGAGAATGGCCGAGGTGGCAGCTCCTCTTTCAAGAATCCTTTCTTTCCATTCGTCTGGGTCTCTGGGTGATCCACTATGATGCGCTGTGGTGGCGTGCGAGGCACCGAGGATCAGCTGCACAGCTGGGTGCTGCATCTGGGGTGCCACCAACAGGCTGGGGTGGAGGAGGGGGTCGGGAGTTCCCTCCTCTGGAGCTGAGAGCCTCCAATCAGCACCTCCTTAAGATATGCTGTTCCCTTACATGAGCATGGGGTTTCACGCTGGGTCCCTCAGCCAGGGTGGGCCCAGAGCTCCAGAGTTCCAAAGGGCAGGCCGTGAGTGGCAAGAGTGGCCCTGGGCCCCTCACATGGTACTTCAGCCAGAAATGGAGCCGGTATCTCTGCGGGGTGGGCGCCCAGAGCCTCCCTGGGTGACTGGTGGCTTGGTGCTGGGTGCTGGGCGAGACGATGTAGCCAGGGAGGGGGCCGAGTCCCGAGACTCCTGCCTGGGTAGGGGTCATGTATAGTGGAGCAGTAGCAGCCGGAGGCTGCAATATCCGGCCCTGCGTGGGACTGAGGGTCCCTGGGCATCAGACCAGTGTGGCTGGCGGTGGGCAGTGGGGGTGGGGGAAGAAAAGTAAGAGTCTTTTTGGGAACTCACGTTCAGAGAATCTCACAATTCCACCTATGCTATCGCCATCTTACTGGAACTCCCTCAAAAGGAGAATTTAAGAGGAAGAGTACCTGACAAGAAACTCCCAACCTATAATAGATTTGCTTGTGCAAATTAAAGAGAGAATTTCAGTTACAGAATCGGTGATATGGTAATGAAAAAGTTCACCAAGTAATGAAAAGCAAACAACAACAGAAGAGAACAAATAAACAAAAAAGAAATAAATGCTTTGCTTTGATCTTGACTTAGGAAGAGTTCCACCCCTATGTGATTTCCAAAAGGAACAAGTCTAAGGTGTTGAATCAAATGGTGGGAACTCACAGAACGCACAAGCTGTCCCTGGCCAGGGCTTTTCAGCATGGCTGCACCCTCTGAATCACCCACAAAGTGGTCCATACCACAGCAGTTTTACCCCAGGAGATCTGTGGTGAGGCTTGAGTATTGGTAATTTTTAAAAAGCTCCCCAGATGATTCTGATATGCAGCCAGGGTTGCAAGCCAATGGCCTATGATCTTATGAACAAACTAATCAGAGATAGATCACCATGACTGAACTTTGATGGACTGCTGGGGTAAAATTAAAGAACCATTAGTGTCAATACAAGTGGGCTCCTGTGGCCTTGACTGTTGCCTGAGTGGCTGCTTTTTATCGAAAGAGTATTGCTGGAAACCCTAGAAACTAAAGACCACCTGTCCTTATGGTCATAACTCTAGTGGAATCTGGGATGAAAGGTAGGCCACAGAATCCTGTAAGATAATCCACCAGTGTGGTCTCTGTAAGAGAGACATGAGACTGGGCTCGGTGGCTCAGCCTGTAATCCCAGCACTTTGGGAGGCTGAGGCGAGTGGATTGCCTGAGCCCGTGGGTTCAAGACCAACCCGGGCAGCTTGGCAAAACCTTGGTTCTACAGTAAATCAAAAAGTAGCCAGGCATGGTACTGCGCACCTGTAGTTCCAGCTTCTTGGAAGGCTGAGGTGGAAGGATTGCCAGAGCTCAGTGTGTCAATGCTGGGGTGACCATGAGTATACTACTATACTCGAGCCTGGGTGCCAAAGTGAGACTCCAACTCAAAAAAAACAACAGAGACATGAACTTGCTATTTGCTGAAATATGCATGTAAAACGGGAAATCAATAGAATAACATATACAACTATTGTATATTAAACAATTCCATAACTAAGGACATTTTAAAAATTGATTTACCATGCACTGTATTGGGAATATTTTAGGCAGGGAGGAGCAGGTGAATGGGTGTTTAACCATATTTAAAAAATTGAACAGAGATAAGAAATAAAGGATAAGAAAAAAAATGATGTATTGGCTGAAGATGCATAAACTTTGGAGCATCCCAAACACTGATATTTGAATTGATTCAATTTAAATTTTTTGCATATTATCAAAAAGGAAGAAGAGTTCAGGTCACCCTCTAAAATGAACTTCTCTGAGTAGAGAAATCCTAAAGCCATAGGGATAAGATAAGATATCCCATAGTCATGGATATAGGTCTAGGTTTACCTTTGAGTAAAGTATCTAAGAGAAGGGACTCAAGGACACAAAGGCTACTGGGAAACTGGGGGAATGCACCTCTGTGAGGCCAGGTCAAAGTCCCAGACAGAAAAATATAATATAAATATAGTGATAGGCCAACAGATCCTGAGCTGTTAGTGACTTTCCAGAAAAGACACCAGGGACTCCTTGGGGACTCTGATGTGCTTCTGAGTACACCAAGATACAGCTCTGATGTGCTTCTGTGTACACCAAGGCCACAAGGAACTGCATCATGAGAAAGGGTCCAACACCAAAGGTAGACATTGAAGGCACCACAAACAGAACTGCTACCAACTTTCTGTGACGCTCAAGGTCACCTGATCACCGCCCCTCAAAGTCGACACACGGAAAACAGAAATTCCAGAAACACAGCTCTTGGAAAACAAAGGCAAAATGTGTCTCAGAGTACATAAATGAAGTGATGCTGGCCAGACAGTTTTAGGATAGCAGATATGCTTATAAATTTGTGGAAATAGCAGGTCTTCAAAGGAAAAGAATTCTGGGCCTGGCATGGTGGCTCAGCCTGTAATCCCAGCACTTTGGGAGGCCGATGAGAGAGGATTGCCTGAGCCCAGGGGTTCAAGACCAGCCTGGGCAACTTGGTGAAACCTTGCCTCTACAATTAAAAAAAATCACACACACACACACACACACACACACACACACACACACACACACACACACACACAAAACTAGCTAGGCATGGTGACGTGTCTGTAGTTCCAGCTACTTGGAAGACTGAGGTGGAAGGATCACCTAAGCCAGCAGGTCGAGGCTATGGTGGCCGTGAGCGTGCCACTGCACTCCAGCCTGGGTGACAAGAGTGAGTCTCCAACTCAAAAAAAAAAAAAAAAGAATTCTGGTGCACATAGAAAGTAAGGAGGAGAGAGGTAGTCTCTGCCCTTTCAAGGGTTTGTGTGAAGATGGCTGTCCTCCCACTGGGCCCCAGTCAGAGAGAAGCCAAGGTGAGAGGCCAAAAGGCTAATCAGAACCTCCCAGAAAGAGCATTTGGAGCAAGGAGGGAAAGAAGGAACTTAAAAAGAGGAACAAAAACAAGTGTGAATTGTGGCGCAATTTGGATCATGGCCAACTCTAACCGCTTCTGGTAGAACCATCTCCTGTCATCCCCCTTGTTGCTGAGCCCTGGATCAATTCTGAAAGGCAACAGCAAAAAACAAATTACTTTTTATTGAGTACTTACTTTATTTCAGGTACTACAACATAATTACTTTCAAGTCATTACCCATTTAATCCTCATATCAGCTGTGTTTTTCTTCATTTTGCACATGAGAAAAGCAAAGTTAAGCTGCTTATCTGAGGTCACACAGCTCCCAAATGGCAGAGTTGCATTCAAACCCAGATCTGTCTGAATCCAGAGTTACCTTATGGGTTGTAAGTCCTGGAGCTCCTATTTTCAAACTGCTCTCTTTCCCCTCTCAGCAAGCTTGACCTAGAGGGAGCTACCTTCTAGCCAATTCAGCTCCCTGAAGAGAGATGGTATTTGTGAATGTCTATCTAATACTATGCCTGGAATAAGTTTTTCCTCAATTTAATCACACTCTTCCAAAAACCTGCTTAGGCAACTTAACAAAGACGCATGGCTTACACCAGGCACAGAGTAGGTATTCAAAAAAAGTTACGGGGTGCATCTGTTCCGGGGTGAAGCTGGTAGATGAGCTCATTGGGGAGCAACCAGCTTGCAGACTTCAAGGAGCAGAGCCACACCTGAGGAGAAAGGTGACTTCAGTTCCTCTGGATTCTCTCACCTGTTGTACTAAATTCCTGGGAGCTGGGAGAGATTATCACAGCCAAGATTCCTGTTCCCTGGCAGGAATAGGAGGGGTTGGTGGAGCTCCATGGAGTCCACCCTGTGGACTCATCCTTGAATACCTTCTTACAGTAAAATTGGGTTCAAGACTCCTCATTTGCTAATAGCTATTTGTCAAAGTTGCAATTTACCTTTTTCTGTAAAATAGTAATAAAAGCTGATCTACAAGTGTTCTGTTTTTATAAGGTCTGTCCCATTAAGAAAGTAGGAACATCCAGGGCAGAATGGAGGAATGTTTTCCAAGAGGATAAATTATAAACACTTGAAAACTTTTCCTAAGGAAATTTGTCTTCTGTAATTACAGGCCGGCCTGTTTTTCTAAATGCTTCCCCTTAATATGCACTCATCAGGGATATTTTTTTCTTTTGTCTTTAGTGGAAAAGGCGACTATCCGACCAGCCAAAAGCATGGACTCACTGTGCTCAGTGCCTGTGGAAGGTGAGATTTTACAATTAGTTTCTGAGCGGGGGATGACCAGTTAGGGGCTGAAGCTCACACCAGACTTGCCTTTATAAGCTGCCTGCTCACCTGTGGTCACGATCACACAATCACCTAGTCCCAAATGCCTCCCTGATCCTTCCAAAACTTAATGTGTTCACATAGCCCTTGACATAACCTCCCCTACTCTACTGAAGGGCTAGACCTAAACAGCCTTCCTTTTCCTCCAGCCTTCCTGAACCAGGTAAAAGGTCAACATTTGAAAATTAAGGCAAAAGAGGTGTATCCCCTTTGGGCAGAAGAAAGAGCCAAGGATTGGTTTGTGCCTCATGGTTTTATGCCTAGATGCTTATGTGTCTTGAATTTGGGTTTCCATAGTCATTAACTTTATAGTGCTTGTCAAGTCATGATTTTGAATTAGTAGGTTTGTTCACTGATTCATTATGTGTCAATAAACACTGATTAGGCACTTGCTATGTATCAGGCATGTGCAAACTACAACATCCTTTGTTGGAGTTGATATGTGTACAGTTGCACAGGAGGTGACACTTGTCACCAAAACAACATCGAACTACATTTGTTCTCATAGCTGTAGCCTTCAGGACTGGCTTGTCTGTTTCTCTCCCTTCTATTTTTGTTAGACAACCAACAAGTACCATTACAAGTTACAAGGCAAAGGGCTTGTCTGGCAACAGACTGTTAAAATTCTCCTGTATTATCCCATGATTTTCCAACCCCTTTCATACAAGACATTCTTCTCTTTTAAAAGTGAGGCAGCTATTTTTTTCCTGAAAAATACAGGAAATCGTTAGAACACTTAAAAAATAATTCTAAACCTGTATAGTACTCAGTGAGATCTTCTTAAGTCGACTTGATTCTTCTAACATTTGCTTTGGTTTTGAAACCTCTTAGGGCAGTTCTTGCCCAGTTTTGCAGGATTTAATATTTCAAAATATAGATCATTATATCTATGACTTATTTGAGTATTGGGCAGGTCATCTAACCTCTGAGTCTCAGTTTTCACATATGCTAAGAGATATCATTACCCCTCCCTTACTGCATGGTCATAAGAATTTTAAACTGTTATGTTTAAACATAACATAAACGTTACATAATGCCCAGTATAATGCTTTGTACCAAGTTAGAAACTGTTGTCCAGATCTCTGGAAACTCACCTGTCATCTCCAAGCATATTTATTTTCCATACAGACTTTTCTTCATCTTCCCTTCTGGGTTAGTCAATAACTCGCTCCTCGCAAGTATGCTTTCTAACATTTAGTTAATTTATATTTCTAGTTTCTCATCCTCTGCATCAACAGAAAGAAACCTGGGAAGGTAGGGGAAAGATCTAGTTGAGAACAGCATTTGTTTCCTTGTTGGGAGATCAAACTCCTGTCTGGGTCCATCTGTCAGAGAAGGCTTAAAACAATAAGTTGTAAAGTTCTAAAATAAAACAAGATTCTGTTATTTTTCCTTTTTTGTCTTCTTTTATGAGCACATATTATTCTGCCATCTCCCACCTGGCTCTTTGCCTTTTCATGAGCTACATTTCATGTTTGGTAGATGACGCTCTGCAGCAACCTTCTTTTGGCAACTGCTCTGCCTACAAAGTTTAAGACTGATACATGTGGCACATCAGCAAAGGGTCCTGGCAAACATGATGCCCAAATTCTGTGCATATGAGAAGACGCTTTCTCTCTTGTCAAGTGTTATGCCTTTATCTGCGTGGCTAGGCCCTCTATGCCTAGCCAGGCTCGGTGGCTCAGCCTGTAATCCCGCGCCTTTGGGAGGCTGAGGTGAGTGGATTGCCTGAGCCCGCGGGTTCGAGACCCACCTGGGCAGGCGAGACCTCATCTCTACAATAAATCAAAAAATTAACCAGGCGTGGTAGTGCGCGCCTGTAATTCTGGCTACTCGGAAAGCTGAGGAGGAAGGATCGCCGGAGCCCGGCAGGTCGAGGCTGCGGTGGCCGTTAACGGCCACTGCACTCCAGTCTGGGCGACAGAGTGAGACTCCAACTCAAAAAAAAAAAAAAAGAATGCTATACCTCTCCCATATTCACATGTGTGCCTGCCCTTGCTATAAGGCTGTGCAGTCATATGTGTGCCCAGGCTGTTGACCACACGCTTGTTCTTTTTTCACTAGGAAACGAAGCCAAGGGAAACTTCAGTCGAACAGTCACCACTGGTGGATTTTTCATTCCAGCAACAAAAATGCACTCGACAGGCACTGGCAGCTCATGTGACCTCAGCAAGCAGGAGGGCGAGTGGGGCCAGGAGGGGATGCCCGTGGGGGCTGAGGGTGGCTTTGATGTGAGCAGTGACCGGAGCCAACTCCAGGGCGCTCAGGCCCGACCCCCACCCGAGCAGCTGAAGGTATTCCGGCCTATCGAGGATCCCGAGGGAGAACAGGCAGCCCCAAAGATGCTGGGCATGTTCTACACTTCCAGCGACAGCCCCACCAAATCCGTCTTCACCAGCAGCCTCTTCCAGATGGAGCCCTCGCCCCGTCACCAGCGCAAGGCACTCAACATCTCAGAGCCTTTTGCCGTGTCTGTGCCACTCCGTGTGTCCGCTGTCATCAGCACCAACAGCACCCCGTGCCGAACACCCCCGAAGGAGCTGCAATCTCTTTCCAGCCTGGAAGAGTTCTCTTTTCAGGGGTCAGAGAGTGGAGGTTGGCCAGAAGAGGAGAAGCCACTGGGAGCTGAGACTTCTACAGGTAAAGTAGGAGAGAGAGGGTCTCTTCCCATTGCAGGAGATTAAAACTAGACTTAAATTGACTTAGTGTTCGCAAAGCAATGGAGTAAAGTGATTAAGGCCAGATTGCCCAGGTACAAATCCAGGCTCTGCTATTTTTCTGTGATCTTCAGCAGGTGAACATAACCACTCTGTGCCTCAGTTTCTTAATCTGCAAAATGGGAATAATGATGTTAATAATTGTATCTTCTTCATAAGTTTGTTGTGAAGATTAAATTAGTTAATACATATAGAGCTCTCAGAACAGTGTCTAATATATAAGTACTCAACAAGTGTCACTTATTATTATTTTATTGGCTCACTTAGTGAGAAGGTGAGAGGAAAGCTCTTAGAATGGAATGCAGAGCTGGAGAGCTGGAACTGGGACTTTAGCTCTTCCAGACTCATTCTCTCCCCATCCACTCATTCTTATTTCTACTTCAGGTCTGCATAGAGCATGGCTAACAACTCTAGCAATGAGAAAGAACATCTTTATCTCAACTTCCTTTTGTAAACACAGAGGGAGTTCTGATTGGGCCAGCCTGGGTCACATGACCAGCCTTGGACCAGTCACTGGTGCCAGGCTAATAGGGTTCTGAGATGAGCCAGACATCATCTCTGGGGTGACAAGGGGTTCTTTGATCAACAACCAAACATGAGCCAGGTAAAATGAAAGTAGGGAGAATCCCAAAGGGCAATCAAGCCGACAAATGCTTATTATGGTTTAGGAATGTTTCTTTTCAGTTCATATTATTATTAACTGAAATGTAATATTCAGTTAACTATTTTTCAGCACCTGTTATGTTGTTAGGCACTGTCCCAAGTGTTCTACATATATGGTCTCATTTCACCTCAAAACCATCCTTTGAGGTGTAAAGATTTGTGCCTATGAGTTACCATTATTCCCATTTGTGTAGGAGTGATAAGTAATTTGCCTGCCAGGTGCAATGAGTGGCTCATGCCTGTAATCCCAGCACTTTGGAAGGCGAAGGTGAGAGGACAGCCTGAGTCCAGGGGCTCGACACCAGCCTGGGCAATTTGGCGAGACCTAGTCTCTACAATAAATCAAAGAACTCACTGGGTGTGGTGCTGTGTGCCTGTAGTTACAGCCACTTGGAAGACTGAGGCAGAGGGATCACCTGACTCAGCAGGTCAAGGATGCGGTAGCCTTGAGTGTGCCACTGCAATCCAGCCTGGGTGATAGAGTGAGACTTCTATTTAAAAAAATAATAATTTGTCCAGTGACTCATAGCAAGGAAGTGGAAAACAACAGGATTTTAAAACAGACTAAAAAATCCATGTGTATAAGCACTCCACCATGCTCCCTTGTGAGTTTACTATGGGCTATGGAGTTACAAAGATTAAGACATGATCCCTTTCTCCCAGCGCGCTCACAAACTAGGAAGGGAAACAGACTCTGCACTGAAGTTCAGCACAGGGTCAGCCTATGGACATAGCATGAGAACCTCTTCTGACTTTTGGGAATGAAGGAGGGCTTAAGTACCCAGAATATAGTGACAGAGGTGTTCAGAAGGGACTGCAAGGGTGTGAAGGAGAGGCAGTCCTCTCAGGAGGATTCCAGGGAGATTTAGAAGAGGTGACATTTGGGCCAGGCCTTCATAAAAGGGTAGAATTTCTCCATGCACAGAAGATAGGTAAAGGCCAGGCATGGCGGCTCACATCCATAATCCCAGTGCTTTGGGAGGCTAAGGCAGGAGGATTTCTTGAGTCCAGGAGTTCGAAGCCAACCTAAGTAATAAGTAGACCTTATTTCTACAAAAAATCAAAAAATTAGCTGGATATGATGGCGTGCACCTGTCCCAGCTACTCAGGAGGCTGAGATGGAAGAATCACTTGAGCCCAAGAAGTCGAGGCTGTGATGAGCTGTGATGGTGCCACTGCACTGCAGCCTGGGTGACAGAGTGAGACCTTGACTCAAAGAAACCAAAAAAGTGTTCTGGAATGAGAAGCAACTAAATATTGTGGGAAGTGGGTACATTTTGGAACCCATCTGGGCTGATTCAGATGCTAGGATTACCATACTATTTTTAGCAATTTGACAGTGGGTGATTTTGAGCTTGTTTCTTATCTGTAAAGCAAGGCTGTGCTGAATTCTGAACATGAGAATGTCTATAAGAGACCTACCCATGGTCTAGCTCATGGAAGATGTCAATACATATTAGTCCTTTCTTCCTCCCTTTTCCCTTTAGGATGGGTGCACAGATGGGCAAAACAGTGGTATCAAATGATTTCTAGTCTGGAGAAAGGTGGGTGGATGAGGGATAGTAGAGGAAGGAGTAAACAGGGTTTCCAAGGGCTTTTGTAAGATGGATTATCCTCTCCAAAAGAGACCCCAAGGGGGTCTTTCAAAGACAGTCTCTTGTCTTTCTTCCCTTCTCTTTCTCTTTATATATAAGAATACCCAGTCTGGGCCAGGCAAGGTGGTTCGTGCCTGTAATTACAGCACTTTGAAAGGTCAAGGCGGGAGGACTGCTTGAGCTCCAGGAATTTGAGATCAGCCTGGACAACATAGTGAGACCTCATCTCTACAAAAAAATAAAAAAAATTAGCCAGGTGTGATAGTCCCAGCTACTCGGGAGGCTGAGACAGAAGGATGGCGTGAGCCAAGGAGGTCAAGACTGCAGTGAGCTGGGATCACACCATTGCACTCTAGCCTGGGTGACAGAGTTACACCCTGTCTCAAACAAAACAAACAACTATTGATGCATTTGCTTACCCTTTCACCCAGAAGTTTCATTTCCAAGAATCTATCCTAAAAATAGCTGCACAAGTCAAAATGATGTATGCATTATTTCAAACATTATTTGTAATGGCAAAAGACTGGAAACAATAAAATGCCTGCCTTTAGGAAACTAGGGTCCACTCAGTGAAGTTCTATAGAGTCCATAGCACTGTGCACCAACTTTCCTTCACATTCCACTTTCCTTCAGACTTCTGCGCATCTGTGAGGGACAGTTTCTGCACACACGGAAGGCATCCTATCTCAGATGTCTGCCTTGTTTTTCTGGTTGCCTCAGGGCTTTTTCTGAAGGGAAGATCTCACGCAGACCTTGCTTGGGACAGCCCAGAAGTATGGAGAATTAACTGGGGCAGTCCTCAGCCAATACAAGCCAGGAATCAGTGGATAAATGACCCAACCTTGTGCTCTTTGGAGAGATTATTATAGCACATTCTACATAGTTCTTCAGAGGAATACCAGGGACTGAATCCCAGTTGCTGACAGTGATAGCCAGCTCAACGCATCCTCTCTATTGACTTTTCCTCTAGCCTTTGATCTCTTTTATTTCTGCTTCCTGGGACCACCTTCCAAACATGCTACCTGCTGCCAGGACCTTGTTTCAGTCTCTCCTTTGAGGGGAACCCAAACTCAGCCATTCTACCAATATGGCTTGGACTTTAAGAGACGTTAAGTGAGAAAATATAAAGCAAAGAACAGTATATATTATATGGCATATTTGTGTAATAAGGGTGGGAAATAAAATATATACAAGTATCTCTTAAAATATGCAAGAATAAACTGTAACAGAATAAACCAATAAACTCATATAAGTAGTTATCCATAAGAGACAGTGGGAGTGTGGAACAGGGTGGAAACAACAAGAATGAATTTGTGATGGGTGACTAAGGAGAGGTTGCTAAGGGAAGACAAAGAAGTGTTGTTAGGTTTGTCTTGATAAATGGATTAGATCGGAACTCAGGTAGGGTCAGAGATTAGATTGGAACTCAGGTAGGACCAGAGCAGAAGAATGCACGAACTGGCAGGGGGAGTGTTAGGGGAAGAGTGGATCTGTGGTGGGGTCAGAGTGAGGAGGGTTGTTTTTTGTTTTGTTTTGTTTTGTTTTGTCAGAGTTAGTCTGTCACCCAGGCTGGAGTGCAGTTACACAATCACGGCCACTGCAGCCTCTACCTGCTATGGTCAGGCAATCCTTCTGCCTCAGCCTTTCAAGTAGCTGGAACCACGTCTGGCTAATTTTTTTAATTTATTGTAGAGACGAGGTCTCACCAAGTTGCCCAGGCTGGTCTTGAACCCCTGCACTTAGGCAATCCCCCGCCTCCGCCACCCGAAGTGTTGGCATTACAGGTGTGAGCCACCATATCCGGCCAAGGAGACCTTTTTATATACAGTGAGACCTCCACATCTGTGGGTTCCACATCCATGGATTCAGCCAACCACAGATCAAAAATATTCAGGAAAAAAATGTGTTTGTACTGAACATGTACAGACTTTTTTTTTCTTGTCATTTTTCCTGAAATAATATAACAACTGTTTACGTGGCATTTACATTGTATTTTATATTATATGTGATCTAGAGATAACTTATTGAGTATATGGGAGGATGTGTACCATTTTACATGAGGGACTTGAGCAAACACCTGGATATTTGAGTATCCTCAACAGGTCCTGGAACCAGTCCTCCACTGATACTAAGGGATAACTGTATTTTAACTTTTGAACTCTGTCAGTTTTTTGTTTTTCTTTACAAATTCAGAGACAAAATTGAATTTCAGGAAATAAGCCTACTAAGTGATGGGGAAAAAAATAGTATTATTGTTAAGTTGGAAGAATTATTGTCCAGACAGCAGGATGCTGCACTAGGTCTGACTGAGCCGTCAGACTGGTGTGTGGTGAGACACCTTAGAGTTAAGTCACCAGTGTATCCATGGCAATGAGCAGTTTGTTCTTTTTTTTTTTTTCCTCCATAGATACCAGTCATCTTTTGTTAGGGTGTTCTCATTAGGGTATGAAAGGATTCCGCAGTGGTCAAGTTCCTCATGGAGGGGTGCTGGGACAAGGAGGTCATGGTCAGGAGAGCAAAGTGCGCCCTCTTCAGTGGTACTTGCATAACTGCTCATGTTTGAGCTCCGTGTAAGAAAGGCAATAGCTGAAAAGCACGTAAGCCAGCCACCCACCCGCACTGTAGGAACCCCGGAGATGCTCCCTTTCTTCACGTTGATGTACTTGTTGTAGTAGCGATGGTAACCCCTTTGAAACACTCCAACAGGCCAGACTCGGTGACTCAGCCTGTAATCCCAGCACTTTGGGAGGCCAAGGCGAGTGGATTGCCTGGCCTGCAGTTTCGTGACCAGCCGGGGCAACTGGGCGAGACCTCGCTGTACAATAAATTAAAAAATTAGCCGGGCATGATAGTGTGTGCCTGTAGGTCTGGCGATCTGAAAGGCTGAGGTGGGAGGATTGCCTGAGCCCAGTAGGTCGAGGCTGTGAGTGTGCCACTGAACTCCAGCCTGGTCAACAGAGTAAGACTCCAACTAGAAAACCAAACCAAACAAACAAAAAAAGAAATACTCCAACAATGCTGTTAGAGGTGAAATCCCACATCAGTATCCAGCTTGGAAGCTCCCCTAGTTTGACATCCATGAGTTTCTTCTACTTCACTGGTATGACCGGTGCCATCTTCAGAGTTTGTTCTTAACCAGCAAGCTTGTCTGAGCTTCAGCTGTGTGTCAGACACTGTAAAGTATTATGATGCCTTCGTATAAGACCACAAGATTTATTGAGAAACTAGAATTTGAACCCAGGTTTCTTTAATTCCACTCTAAATAATAACTTTTATTGAGGGCCTGCTATGTTCCAGGTACTATCTTTATTTATCTCACACTGTGAAAATAGCCTTCATGCAAGGCAATAGAGGCCAAACTTGAGGTCTGCCTCTGGTTCCTGATTTCAGTAGATGTTTCACATCAAAACTTCATCACTTTGGATATGTCCAAGTCGAATGTAGGTAATTCCTGGAAGGAGTCACATAGGAAGCTGTCAATCATAAGTATAAGACATCTTTGCAGCAAGGTGTGAATAATAGATTTTTGTGACCTTGGGCACCAAGATAGACTTCTCAGGGCCTATTTAGTCTTGAAGTGAAAGCTCGGGCTAAAGCAGGGTTTCACAACATTGGCATATTGACATTTTGAGCTGGATAATTATTTGTTATGGGGCCGTCCTGTGCATTGGAGGATACTTAGCAGCATCCTTGGCTTCTGTCTACTAGATGCCAGTAGCACTCCTCCCCTCCCCACTGTTGTGCAACCAAAAATGTCCCCAGACATTGCCAAATGTTCCCTGGAGGAGGGGGAAGAAGAAAAATGACCCCTGGTTGAGAACCACTGGACTAGATGATCTTCAAGGTCCCTCCCATCTCTGACAGTCTGTAAGTCTGGGAGGTGGGGCCAGGACATTGCTAGGAGGAAAGGGTAAATTGTGAGGGACAGTGAGCTGGGAGAATTCCCTCCATCCTTGTGAAGCAGGAGCCAGGGGTAGGACAGTGCCGTGGTGGGAACAGCATCTCCTGAAATGAAGTCTCCTTTGACTGATAGCTCACATCTTCATTTCAGCTTCTGTATCTAAGAAGACAGCTCTTGAGGATGCCACGCCAGCACCTGAAGCAGTGGGAACAGTGGAATGCAGCAAAGGCCTTTCCCTAGAGCCTGGCGCCCAGCTGGAGGAGAAGACCACAGAAATCTCCTTGGGATCTCAACATTTAAGTGAATTAGAAAAGAGGCCAAATCCGGAGAAAGTGGTGGAGGAGGGACAAGAGGTTGGCCACGGGGAGTCCTGCACCCTGCAGGAGAGCCCCAGGGTCAGAGCCGAAGCTGTGTTTCTCCATGAGATGGTAAGATGGATTCACTGCTGCTCCAGCCAGATGGAGTCCTTTTCTTCCCAGTGGCTCTTGGTACAACTAAAAGTAAATTTTCAAAAGCATTTTTGGGGTACTGGGTGCAGTGGCTCATGTTTGCATTCCCAGTGCTTCAGGAGGCCAAAGCAGGAGGATTGCTTGAGACCAGGAGTCTGAGACCAGCCTGGGCAACATAGCGAGACCCTGACTCTACCAAAAAAAAAATACACACACACACACACACACACACACACACACACACACACACACACACACACACACACAGAGATATCTGGGCATGGTGGCTTATGCCTATAGTCCCTCTGGACTCTGTAGACCCTCTGGACTCTGGAGGCTGAGGTGGGAGGATAGTTTGAGCCCAGAAGTTCAAAGTTACAGTGAGCTATAATCACACCACTGCACTGCAGCCTGGGCAACAAAGTGAGACCCTGTCTTTAAAAACAAATACATATGCAAACAAATAAAAATAAAAAATTTAAATTCTTTTAAGAGCTGGGCTTGGTGGCTCAGCCTGTAATCCCGCTCCTTTGAGAGGCTGAGGTGAGTGGATTGCCTGAGCCCGCGGGTTCGAGACCCGCCTGGGCAGCAAGACCTCATCTCTACAATAAATCAAAAAATCAGCCAGGCGTGGTAGCACATGCCTGTAATTCCGGCTACTTGGAAGGCTGAGGCAGAAGGATCGCCGGAGCCCAGCAGGTCGAGGCTGTGGTGGCAGGGAGCGGCCACTGCACTCCAGTCTGGGCGACAGAGTGAGACTTCAAATCAAAAATAAATAAATAAATAAATAAATAAATTCTTTTAAGAAATCAGTTTAAATCAAAAATAAATAAATAAATAAATTCTTTTAAGAAATCAGTTTCTGCCAAAGAGACTTTAAGAGACAAACTTTTTATCAGGTCTGGGATTTATTTTACAGTGGACTTTTCAGAGGTCCTATAGTGACGGGAGGGAACCAGCCAGCTTAGATTCCCTAGGACAGACTCAGTCTAAATATTTCTGACCTGAGGTCACCATAAACAGTAACATGTCCTTGGAATGTAATGACATTCAGTCCCGGAAGCAGCACAAAATCTGCTTGTCATATCCCAGTCCCACATATGATGATCATTCACAGGATTCAGCCCTCTTCCTACAGACATCCTGGATGGGTCATCGTCTATACTTGTTTCTAAAATCTGAACTATTTCCAGGATACTCTTCCTTCTTTTGGCTTTTGGAGAAGTTAAAATGCGATGCCAGAGCTGACTGAATCTAGTCCACTTTTTTAGAGTTGGAATTTTCCAGAAAGGTTTTCATGAGGTGTCCTTACATAGAAGATGGGCCGGGTTCCGTGGCTCAACTTGTAATCCCAGCACTTTGGAAGGCCGAGACTAGTGGATTGCCTGATCCCCTGGATTCGAGATCAGCCCAGGCAACTTGGCGAGACCTTGTCTCTACAATAAGTAAAAATAAATAAATAAATAAAAGCCAGGTGCAGTAGTGTGTGCCTGTAGTTCCAACTGCTTGGAAGGCTGAGGCGGGAGGATCGTCGGAGCCCAGTAGGTTGACACTGGGGTGGCCATGAGCGTGTGCGTGCCCACTGCACTCCAGCCTGGACGACAGAGTGAGACTCCAACTCAAAAAAAAAAAATGTTGTACAGAGATTTTCTGGGGACACCAGGGAGGAGATAGCTCCATGACCAGAGGAGGGTGCCACATGGGAAAAGGAAGCTCTTTGCCTTTTAACTTGCTTCCAGGGACTTGGTTTTCAGGAAGTGTATAAAAGGACTGTGAGTATAAAAGGGCACTGTCGGATGGCCTCAGGAGAACTGAGCGATTGTCTCTATGTGTTGAAGGAGAGGGATGTATGATATTCACATGGGGATTGGATTCTTCTGGGAAGGGCCCAAGTATGAATGACATTGCTTTGAGAAACAGAGAAAGTTAGTGCTGGAAAGAGAACCAGAGTAGAATCAAAGGAACAACACTGTGCCGGCCTTTTTGGAGCTAACAGCACAGTAGGGGAAAGGGCATTGGGCACATCATTTCCAGGGTGCTGTGGAAGCATGGAGTGCTGTGGGAGCATATAGCAGGAGGACCCAACCTAGTCAGAAGGAGGAGGTATGCCACAAGGGCCAGGGGAGGATTAGGTAGAAGAAAGGAGTAGGGCATGGGATAGAGGAAGGGAGAGACTTCCAGGCAGAAAGAATAAGATGTGCCATGAATCTGAGGTGGGAAAGAGCATGAAGCAGTCAAGGAATGGGAACAAGCTTGGGATAGCTAGACTGGAGGCAGTTGACACTCAAGGAGACAGAAGAGCCACATCATCCAGGACTACTTGGAAGGACTGAGGGCAATGGGAAAGCCTGTGAGGTGTTCAGAATTTTATCTGTTCTGTGAGGAGAATGGCCTGGAGAAGGACAAGAGAGGAGGCACGCATACCAGAGAGGAGGCTAGCATATGGCAAGCCAGGTGAGAAAAGATGGCAGCAGAGTGGGGCCTTGGGGACAGAAGCAGAAGGATACATGAGTTATTTAAAAGGTAGAATGGACAGGACTTGGTGAAGAATTGGATAAGGAGTGAGGAAGAAGGAAGCATCAAAGGCACCTCATAGGCTTCTGGCCTAAGCAACCCAGACCGTCTTTTGTGATGGGTCCACTTACTGAGAGGACAAAGTGAAGTAGGGGGGATTTTAGATATTCATTCACTTGCTCATCTAAATTTATTGATTTTTTGGTATTGATTTTTTTTAGTAGAGATCAATTAATGTAGGTGCTGAGTAGCACAAAGAGATGAATTTGTCCCTGCCCTGAAGGAGGGCCCAGTCTAGTAGGCAAAAGAGAAATGCACACAAATAAATGCAGTTCAGTACTATCAGATTACTTTAGACCAAGTAATCCTACAGTTATCTGAAAGAAATAACTCAAAAGAAAACAATGAATCCATTGCAACTCAACAGACCCTTTATTGAGCTGATATACTCAAGAGTATACCAGTACCATGTGGTATTGAGGAATCAAAGGTGAATAAACATAATCCCTAACCTCAAGGAGCTCCCAGTCCATTGGAAATGATAAGACAAGCATTAAAGTAACATGAAACAATGTGTGGTTAGAGCCAGGTAGGAAGGGATGAGAGGTCAGTAGCCATCAGACTTCTCAGAAAGACCTGTACCCCCATGAACTCGAGACACTTCCCTAAACATCTCTTTGGGTCAGAATTAGGCCTTGAGGCAAGAAATGAAAGGAACTAAAATTTGTTGTCCTGGCCCTGACCGGACTTCCCTCCATCCCTTTCCTGTCTACAGCTTTACACTTGTGTAGCATAAAGGAGGAGTCGAGAAGGACCAAGGGAAGCTAGACTTGAGGGGAGACAAAGACAGCAAACAAGATGGCGGAGGAGGCAGTTCCACAGTCACAGAACAGAAATCTCCATCATGTGATCAGTGATTATCTGTGGGTAATAGGAATATAAGATTTTGCTGGTTTTGTATCCCCCCCCCCCCGCTTTTTTTTGTTTGAGTCGGAGTCTGTCGCCCAGACTAGAGTGCAGTGGCACGCTCATGGCCACAGTGGCCTCAACCTGTTTGGCTCAGGCGATCCTTCCACTTCAGCCTTCCAAGTAGCTGGAACTACAGGCATGTGCTACCACACCTGGCTAATTTGTTTTTTTATTGTATAGACAAGATCTCGCCAAGTTGCCCAGGCTGGTCTTGAAGCCCTGGACTCAGCCAATCCTCTCGCCTCTGCCTCCCAAAGTGCTGGGATTACAAGCATGAGCCACCGCATCCAGCCTGTATTCTCCTTTAATATGTATTGGAATGTTTTTCCATGTGGAATTTAGTAATAAGGAAAAAGAACCACATCTATTTATTTGGAAAGCAGATGTCAGAGTAAAAGTTAACATTTTCATTATACTGGTAATGAAACCTGAGGCTAAATGAGACCAGGGTTTTTGTTTGTTTTATAAGGCAACAGTGCACAGGGATCAAACACGTTCTGCTGTAAGGCAGAACTGAATTTTAATGATTCAGATAAATTGTTTCATCTGTTTGAAGCTGTGTTACGACGATGGTGAGAACTTCGACAACAGTGCAGATGTCAGCCCAGAATCCTTGATTCTAAAATAATCAGTTTTTCTATGTTTTTCAGGATGAAGAGGATCTGGCCAATGCCCTGATTTGGCCCGAGATTCAACAAGAACTGAAAATCATTGAATCTGAGGAAGAGCTCACCTCGGTTCCACCACCTGCTCTGAAGACCAGCCCAATTCAGCCAATTCTTGAGTTGAGTACAGGGCCCTTTGCTTCCCTGGAGCTTCCCGGGAGCTTGCCATGTGGCTCCGCCCCTGCCCCAGTCTCCACCTCCCTGAAGGAGTGGACTAGGGATCCAACCAATCAGAGCACACAGGGGACTTACACAACAGCCAATGGACAGAAGCCAGAGACGACCCCTGGCCTCCACAGATCCCAACCTGAGCAGGGGCAGGGCCTGCGACCCGACCCCGCCAGCCTGGCTCCCTTGGAAATAGTTCCGTTTGAGACAGCGTCTCCACAAGCAAAGGTGGAGGTGGGAGGCCCAGGGAATCTCTCCCCTCCACTCCCACCTGCTCCTCCCCCTCCAACTCCTCTGGAGGAGGTACCTCCAGTCCTGATGTCAAAGGGTGGCCCTGAGAGAGAAGACCCATCCGGGAGTTTGAGGACAAATCCCTATATAGACCAGCTGAAGTCCAAAGACACTCCTGGGATCCCTATCCTCTATCAGGGAGAAGAGTCTTCTTCAAGACAGAGTGAAAAGCAGAATTCAAAGAACGCAGCTCCAGTGGGAGAAGGCTCTGGTGTTCCAAGCCCAACAAGGGAGGTTGAGATCATCCCGCAAGGAGAGGGGTATGTAGCCCATTCGATGCAGGAGCCTTCAGACTGTGACGAAGATGACACTGTGATCGACGTTGCCCAGCATGGCCTGGAGATGGTGGAACCCTGGGAGGAACCCCAGTGGGTGACGAGTCCCCTTCACTCTCCCACCCTGAAGGAGCTGCAGGAGGCCCAGGTGCAGGGCCCGCAGGGTCACCGATTGGAGAAGAGGCTATCCCACAGGCCCAGCCTTCGCCAGAGCCATTCTCTAGATAGCAAACCCACTGTTAAGAGCCAGTGGACTCTCGAGGGTCCCTCCTCCAGCAGCTGTGCTAATCTTGAAACAGAGAGGAGTTCTGATCCTCTGCAGCCCCTGGCACCCAGGAGAGAGATTACTGGATGGGAGGAGAAAGGCCCGAGGCCCTTCAGAGAGCTCTCGGGCCTGAAAGGGACAGAGGCTCTTCCCAACCAGAAGGGACCGGGTGGTGTGCAACCCAAGCCAGCAGAAACCATCCCTGTCAGCCTAGCAGAGGCAAAGGAGCGGGGGACACACCTGGGGCCCAGCAACCCACAGATTAAGCAAGGCAGTGTTCCTGGGCCAGAGAGCAGCAAAGAGAGTTCACCCAGCATACAGGACAGCCCCTTGCCTGGAGAGCATCCCTCAAAGTTACAGCTAAAGAGCACTGAGTGTGGCCCGCCAAAAGGGAAAAATAGGCCTTCTTCCCTCAACTTGGACTCTGCCATTCCCATTGCTGACCTCTTCCGGTTTGAGAATGTAGCCTCACTTAGTTCACCTGGAATGCAGCTCTCTGAGCCAGGAGACCCGAAGGTCACATGGATTTCCTCACCTCACTGTAAAGCAGACCCCTGGAGGGTTTATTCCCAGGACCCACAGGACCTGGACATTGTTGCTCATGCCCTGACAGGCCGCCGTAACTCAGCTCCTGTAAGTGTGTCAGCTGTGAGAACCTCCTTCATGGTCAAACTGTGCCAGGCCAGAGCAGTCCCAGTCATCCCACCCAAGATTCAGTACACCCAGATCCCACAGCCGCTGCCTTCTCAGAGTTCAGGGGAGAGTGGGGCTCCGCCTCTGGAGAGGAGCCAAGAAGAACCCAGCTCAACTAGTGGGACCTCTCAGAAACCTGCCAAAGGTGACTCTCCTGCCTCCCTGGAAAGCCCAGAGGAAGAGAAACTAAAGCAAGATACGGGAGCCATGAAACCCTTGCCGATGGATGCTAATGCATCCTGCATGTGTGAGGGACCCACCCTTTCTCCAGAACCCGGCTTGGCTAACCTGCTTTCCAGCCAGGATGCAATGGTGCAATGCCGAAAGCGCACGTCAGAGACAGAACCATCTGGGGACAACCTTCTTTCTTCAAAAATAGAGCGCCCATCGTCTGGGGGTTCTAAGCCTTTCCACAGGTCAAGGCCAGGAAGACCTCAGAGCCTCATCCTATTCAGTCCTCCTTTCCCCATTATGGACCACCTGCCCCCCTCATCCACAGTGACAGATTCCAGAGTCCTGCTGTCCCCTATCAGAAGTCCCACCCAGACAGTTTCCCCCGGCCTTCTTTGTGGGGAGTTGGCAGAAAACACATGGGTCACATCAGAAGGAGTTACACTTAGGAATAAAATGACCATCCCTAAGAATGGCCAGAGACTGGAGACCTCAACCAGCTGTTTTTACCAGCCCCAGCGGAGATCAGTGATTCTGGATGGAAGAAGTGGGAGGCAAATAGAATGACATCACTTCACCTTCTGGTGTGAGAAAATGTCATGATTCATCTGGAAGTTATTACAGGGCCAACTTGCCATTTTCCAGGCACACATTTGGGCTCATTTTGGCCTCTGACTTCTCTTTCTTCAGCCTTTTGACCATTTGTTAATTAGTTCATTTGCTAGAAGAATGGTCAAGGGAAAAACCAAGAGATGCAATTTAGATATGATTCTATGAGCAAGTGGGGAAAGGTTAGTCAAGGAAAGAGGATAAAAGGTTTCCTCCATTGAAAGTTGGGGCTTGTTTGTGAGTTGCACTGCTCCCCTGTTGCCATTATCTATTACTCTTGACAGCTGGCTTTGATAATACCCTTTGAAAGAAAGAAAAACCCCTTACCTGTGTCATAAAATGTTGCTATTGAGGTTAGAAGGCCTCCTCTTCATGCTTTTTAACACTCTTTGAAGCGTGTGTTCTTTTAGAACAGTTTTCTAATAAGCTTTGTAAAAGTGTACTATCCCAAATAGAAGCAGATTTGGAAATGCAAACTAAACGTGCACCTAGATATCCAGTGGGCGAGTTTACCTAGGCCCTTTCCCTGGAATCCCTGCAGACCTGGCCAACGTGACTCCATATACTGGCATAGAAAATCAGAATCATGAGTAAACCCTGAGACTGGCATAGTCCAAGAAGACTTTCTGGCTTTTTTAATTTGGGACTCCAACTGCCAATGTACTGAACTTTGATTTATAAGTCCAGTAGCTGGCCCGGGTAGGGGCTGAGCTGAAGATTACCTTAATGAAATGTTCTAAATCTTCATTTAGGAATGCAATCATGAGGTGAAGGTATCTGCTTTCTTTACAATGTCAGAGTCCAAGAACAGGATTTCATCGTCGAGAAAAGCCTCCCACACAGGCAGAATTGCACTCCACACTTAATGTGTTTACATAGACGGGGCATTAGTAGAAAACACTTCCAGCTCAACTTCGCTCTTCCACAGTAGGCTGGCCTGCCCTAGCAGGACAGGAGAGGAAAAAGGGAGGAGCCCTAGGAGGAGAGGGAAGAGCCCTAGCAGAATGGCTGTCACTACAACTCACCGAGAGCCAGTCTTGAAAATGTATTTCATTTTAGCCAGTGAGTCCCTTCCTTTCTCCCCTTCCCTCCATTGCTCAAGAGCAGATTGGAGACACCCTTCTCCCATAATTCCCCTCATCCACCACCCACTCTAGGCACTCAAACTTGCTCTTCTCTGTCTGTGTACAAGCAGAAGCAATAAATTTGATTTTTTTTCAGTTACTTAGAACATTCAGTGGTTCTTTCTAGCTGAAGAGAGGAAGGAGGACTAATACACCTACTGGCAGATTTTGATGCTCTCCCACAAAAGGCTTCACAGGGCACCCCTTTCAAGTTCAAGCCTGGATGAATTCTGCCCAGAAGTTCAGTCATTACAGACATTTCTCTAAGAGCTAACAGTACTCTGGGCAGACCTCACAACCGAGGCTGGTGCTGGGCTGGATAGGGGCTGAGCTGAAGTTACCTTCTCCAGTTGGAAATTGGGAACTGATGCCCTGCAACACACATCTGTCTGTCTGTCTCTCTCTCTCTCTCTCTCTCTCTCTCTCTCTCTCTCTCTCTCTCTCTCTCTCTCTCTCTCTCCCCCCCCCCCCCCCGCCTCCCTCCCTCCCTCCTTCCCTGATAAGTCTTACACATAGTCTTGAACTCTTGTCCTGTGTCTTTAAAGTGTCAGTGGCAGGGGTAACTGGTGAGTCAGCTGATGAGTCTGCCTTCAAAGAGCACTGGGTGAACAAGGGGAGTAGTTAATAGGCCTTTGGTCGTTGGGCGAGTAAGACATTGGACCCACAGCCAATGAGACATCAACCCATAAGGAAAGTCCTAGAATCTAACATTTTTTCCTTAAGCAAGGTGAGGAAATACAGTGGTGACAGATGAGAAAGGCCATGTTCAAGAGATTTTAAAAATACATTCCTGCCTTATCAGAAAATGTGGCAGACTGGTTTTATGTCAGTCTCAGCGCACTTGTGTCCACGATTTGATAAGGACCGTGTTCCAGCTGGAATGTGAGGGAAAGAAAGAACTGCACTTTGCTTCACCATCAGAACTCTGAGCCAAATAATGAAGTATTTAAACTATTTTATGATTTTTTAAAATGTTTGTAACTTTTATAAAATGTATTTTTATTCTGGGATAGACTGAGAAGCTACCCTTTACATATTAACAAGTGACTTCAGTTCTAACAGTTGAGGGGCCTGTGTAGATTTACAAAATGGCTGCATGTTCCTTTAGACTCTGCCACCTTTCATTTATAGCATCACCTTCAGGAGCATGGGTATGTAGGTGTCAGGAGACACGCTGACAGCTCTCTGGAAATATTCCCTGCTCTGAGCTTTCCTAGCCAGGCAATTCTAAAAGGTCTTAGGAGCTGACTCACCTTCTTAGTCAGTGTTCTGCTGCTCAAATGGCCCTCTCCTTTGACTGTCTCCTAGCCTGACAACTGTCACCACCATATTCATAAACTTCCTGTGGTCTAGGCTGGCCTGTCACTGACGCAGTTCCCTTCTAAGGCACAGAAAATTCATTCCCACTCCCTCACCACAAAATTGTTCCCCCAAATGCCCTGGAATTACCTATATGGTGATCCACTTGGGGCTCTTAAAATTGAACCCCCTGCAAATGGCAGGATGGGAATCAAATTACCTGCTTCCATCCAGGGAAGGATAGAACAGGGCTGGTGTTGTTAGATCTACTTGATATCCTAGAAAGCACTGTGGAATCAAATTCTCAAAGGGTTCCTTCCAATCAACTGTCAGTCTTCAAAATGGAGGTGGCTGATTTTAAATGTTGAAGTGAAATATAGGCATATACCAACGTTTTCTTTTAGTATTAACGGTTGCTTAAGAAGATGATCTGTAATTATTTGCAAAATGGCCCTCCTAGGTCTTTTTTTTTTTTTCCATCAAAATGGACCAAATAGAAGCTGTTTGCTTTTTTTATTCTCTGCTTCACTTGGAATATGAAGAGACCTGACCATGAACTCCATGAAGACACTATTAGCCTGATCTAAGTCCTAAAATTCAAAATCTTATCCAAGTCAAAATTCTGGACTCTGGGGACATCATAATCAACAAATGTTTATCAAGAGCTAAGTAATAGTGCACTGGGTACCTCAGCACTCCTAAATCCATGACGAGTTTAATATAAAAGAGGAAGGGATGATAGCTAACGAAATAGCCCAGAAACAACCAGGAGCATGGTTGAGTAAGACATTGGACCCACAGCCAATGAGATGTCTATTGGGCTGTTAGTTACCAAACAAAAGGAGAAGGGGGGGAGATATAGCAACTAGCATCTTTTAATAGGAGTGTTAATGGTATTTAAGTGACCTACTGACTTTAAATAACCAAACACAATCACAGATTTAACAGGACATATCAGCAAGACACTCAGGTGTTGAGAACTTTGATTTTAAAGATTAGAGAGTGGTGAATAAATTAGAATAAGTAGTTCTGAAGCTTTGTGTGGTCTTAATTGATTGGTTGTGAAGTGTTAGATATCTGCAAATGAGCCAGATAAGATCAGTATTCCATACTCCTTAAGAGGAAATTTTGGAGACATCTGTTATCACAAAGTGTGTTAACTCCTATTGATGAAATCATAGGCCCATTTAGCATATGATAATCGCATTTGGCTAAAAATGGGTGGAACAGTCATTTGTCTACACAGGCCTTGTGTTCCTGCCTGAAGAGGTGTTGGGAACATGAGATCCATTTGTCAGGGATTGGAGTGGGAGAAGTTTACAATAGGTCCATTTCCCACCAGGGTTGACTAGGACCACATTCTACCATGACCAGTCCTATCTGTGAATCTTGGGGTTAAGTATAGCCAGGAGTATGATTTTAGGCAGGAAGGTCAGTTTGAAGTGTGGATTGACAATATGTCCTCCGTGACCAAAACCTTTCCTAGCAAAATAGGGCCAGAAGGGGGAACAGGCACCTTTTCAACATGGAGAGGAGGAGGAGATGGTAGAATGGTGATTGCCTGAGGTCAGTGCCAGTCCAGATAGTACAAAATTGGGGGCCACCACAGACTGCCTAGCTACTGTATAATAGACCCTTTGGTAACCCTTAGGTACACGAATTATGTAGAGATTACTGTTCTATAAAGGTGAGGAGGATGTAGCTAAATACAAGAAGCTCATGAAGACCAAAACCATGTGTTTTACTGGATGAATCAACAATGCTTTGCAATAACTTAATGCCTTAGTACTTTCTGGTTTATATTTCTGCAAAGTAAAGCACTTTTTCAAAGGAGTCTGTGGGAAAACCACATAATTTCAGTTGTGTTATAAGCTCTACAAATATGTTGCCAAAGATATAATCAAATGTTTTTCTATTGATTAAAAAAGTATAAATAAATATTAAATCTATCCGTAGAGACATTTAAGTGTAATTAAAACAGATTGTTATGCTTTAAAAACATACTCTAATAAATGATATAAAACATAATGCTTATGATGGAACTGTGAGCGAGAGGAGGACATGGAGTCGCCAAAATCAATAATCAGGAAAGTAGATTATGTGCATCTGACTCTGCTTGATGTCATTTTTTTGTTATCTCAAGGTTTAGTCTCACAGCAAAAGTCCTGATGATTTGCTTCAGTAAAATTTTCTTTTTTTGTTGTTACATATTAATAATTATCAAATGTTTGCAACTTTGCCTCTTACTGTTGCAATCACGTGGTCATGGCACTCAAGATACCCAGTATAAGACCATGACATCATAATGAAAAATGAGAAGAAGAAAAACAGCTTATTGCTTCTCAGATTCTCAGAACTCTACCACTTAGGAGTCATGCGGGTCCATCTGCACAGACGTGAACTCAATTTTCCTGTTACATCACGGGGGACTGTTTGAGTAATTAAGTTCATGCTGCTCTAGGGTGGAGGGGGAGAAGAAAACAATTGTTATTCTGGCATATACAAGATGGAGGTGTACATAATCATAAATTGTCAATTTACAATTAAAAAACAAAGGCTAATGCAAGAGGAAACAGTGGTAGGGTGGGTTACCAGTGTGCGGTGGTAGAAGAAACCATGGACATAAATAAGATAGTATAGGGAAAGGGTGTGGAGTGAAAAGGGAAGGAAGGAAGGACAGAATTCGGATGAATAACCGAGGCTCGCTCACAACCTAGTGATATTTGCAGTGAAAAATACCATTGCCATGGGGATAAAAATACTTCCATTTTGACCACAACGTTCTAATCAGGAACCTTTAGCACTCAGGCCTGCTCCTGCCATCCTTCACTACTGCTCTAAATGCTGTTCTCCTGTTTCTCTCCTAGACCTCCCCTCACCCCACCCAACACACAGTTCCTCTCACTCCCACTCTTTCCCCCATCGTGTCTCTGGAGTTGAAGTTGTTTTCTCATAAACTGCCCCACAGTTCCAGTCTCTTCACTGAATATTGTTGTCACTTCCTGGGCTTCAATAAAACTCCTGTGAGGACACTTCTTTCCCTGTACAAAAGTGCACATTCTCCCACATCATACAGACTCAAAAGGGTCAGAAGACATTCTCCCAGTTTGTTACGACTGCGTCTGCACAATGGCTTCTTCCCATCTCATACAAAAATCCCTCATTACAAAAATATATGGAGTCAGCTATTTTAACTTTTACTGTTCTTTGTGGCCACGATGCAATCAATGTCCCAGATTCCCCAGTCTTCGGTACCAGATTTCCTGGTTTCTCCTACTTTGTGTCCCACGATCATGCTGGATGACCTCAATGCTCTCAAGGAAAACCAATCCATTGCCCTTGCCACAGTTGCTCCACTCAGCTTTGGCCATTTGCTACTAGGGTTACACATCAGGCTGTTTCACAACCCAGTTTTCCCATTTTCCTTTCTCAGAACCTTCTATCCTTACTACTTTGTGCCTTATATTTGCACAAGATTACCAATCTCTGGCCCACCCCTCCTCTGGCCGCAGCACCCCCGCCAGACTTCGTATTTTCTTTCCATACCCCACGGTGCCTCCTTTCACCTCTTCTCAACAGAATCATCACTCCCTCAACCCCTAGTCCCTCAGCCATACTTGTTGACACACCTCCAACTTAGGACCAGGACTCTGACCACCCATCTTCTCTTCCCTTTAACTGTATCTGTGGGTTGGATCAGAGAAAAATCATAAAATAAAGGCATGAGGGCTGTTAGATATTTATGGTCTCTCACCTCAGCAGTGGCCTCATCCCAAAAACCCACAATGGCTATTCCACTCT